TCTCCAGCAGGGACCATTTTCATTCCTTCCCTTTGGCTTTCAGTTATAAGTTCACACCACGTCAAGTTTGCCTGCCACAGAGAGGAGCATCTCACACTGTAGGACTAGAGGAAGAGCCCTCTACTCTCTCTTCACCACAAAGTGATTAATCCAATCAAGGAGCGTTAATGCGAAAGTGAGCATCGCCCCATCATTAAGTGCAAACCATCAACTGTCAGAACCTTCCTTCCCATCTGGTGGCTCTGACACTTAACACAGCCAGTTTGTTCTTGGGATGGAGCTAGGGTAAACCCCATGCTTTTCACTTGGACCACAGGGAACTTTCTGGATAATAGAGGCCTGCCAGTATTTTTTTTTTTTAATGTTACATGGTAATACACTAACACTAAAACCTTAAGAATAAGTTCATCTTTGTTTATTATTCAAGACAATATCTTTCAATTCTGTGGCCTCTTGGTATTTGTGGCCTTTGGGGTCATTGCTGAGTAGCCAGGCAGAGGGTCTGAGTGGCCCACTGTGCTGAATGGATTCTTAATTAACCTCAGGTGGTAAGCATGCTCGAGTGTGAACATCCTGAGTGAGGCAGTTGGTGGTAACCATAGCATTCCTAATACTGACCTCGTAGGAAGGGGAAAGATATCCAGGTACTACTTAAAAAAATTAATAGACTTTAATTTTTAAAGCAGTTTTAAATTTATAGAAAAATTGTGCAAAACTGCAGAGTTCCCAGCTCCCTCCCACATGGTTTGCCCTGTTATTAGTATCTTACAGTAGAATAGTACATTGGTTACAATTGATGAACCAATACTGATATGTTATTATTAATTGTTTCCATTAGGGTTCCTTAGGGTACTCAGTACATTAAGATGCTCTTTGTGTTGTACATTCTATGGGTTTTGACAAATGCATGATGTCATGTCGCCACCATTATAGTATCATACAGAAAAGTTTCACCACCCTAAAAAAATGTGTTCCACCTCTTCTCTCTACCCTTCTTCCTGCAACCTGTGGCAACCAGTGACATTTTCATTGCCTATAGTTTTGTCTTTTCCAGAAAGTCATGTAGCTGGAATTATACAGTACATAGGCTTTTCAGACCACCTTCTTTCACTTAAAGACATGCACTTAAGACTCCTCCATGGCTTTCATGGCTTGATAGCTCATTTCTTTTTGTTGCTTGATGCCCCACAGTTTGTTTATCCATTCACCTACTGAAGGACATCTTGGTTGCTTCCCAGTTTTGACAGTTATGAATAAAGCTGCTGTAAACATTCATGTCCATCAGTTTTCTGTTCGTTTGGGTAGATACCTAGGCTAAAACTACTTTTATTTGTTTTTATTTTTTATTGAAATATAATTGATTTACAATGTTGTTAAAACTATTTTTATTTTGGTGGGGGAGGTAATTAATTAGGTTTACTTATTTATTTATTCTTAGAAGAAACTGGGGATTGAACCTAGGACCTCATGCATGCGAAGCATGCATTCTGCCACTTGAGCTATACCCTCCCCCAAAACTATTTTTAAAAATGTAATTTTAGAGCCTTTTTCCCTAAAGAGTTGGAAGGAAAGTATCCATCCCCTCCTTCTAGGTAAGTCTCCAAAGACAAAGCAGGAGGCGGAACTAAAGCCAGAAGAGGTCTAATGTTCCTTTCATTTGGGTAGACTGAGTACAGAGACAGATGTAGTTACCTTTCCATTAACTAGTCCTGGAACCTTTAGGAGTTAGATTGGTTATTGCTGAAATCCTTTAGAAACCTTAACAAAAGGGTAAGGTCTGCGTAAACAACCAGTTAGCCAGGTTTGCGCTGAGCGTTTTTCCCAGGGGCTGGGGTAGGTTACTATGGGATGCAATGGGTGAAAATAAACCGTGGTTTCATTTTTTTCATTTTGCCTAATAATTACCTTGTAATACTTTCTCCCCTGGTTTTATGACATTTTCCTGATTTTAAAAGTGGGCATTTTTTTTTCTTCTGCATTTTCTCTTATTTTTAGCCTTCCATTTATATCATTTTTCTAATCATTGTGGTTGTTCCCTGGGCTTTTGTGGCCCCAGAATTATCCAGCTTAGTTTTATTATTCTTGTCAATTGCTTTCTTTTACCTCCTGTCTTTAAGCTGTTTTTCTCCCTAGTATTTGTTCTGAACCAAATTTCTCCTTTAATACCTTAGTGTGGCTTCCATTCTTCCCAGGGAAAGAGGTTTAATTTTGCTGGAAACAAACTGTGGCCCTCCTTTAGATGAAAATAGTGCTGCTGCTTTATAATCAGTTTTCACAGAATCACAGTTTGGGCTGTTGCTGGCACAATGTTTTGTGAGTCTTTGCAAGTGGCTGGGAATTACCGTATATGCTTGAATATAAGGTTAAGGTTATATTCTGTCCCCATCATCTCCAGGGAAGAGGAGGTGCCTTACAGAGTGCTTGCCAAGTGTCTCACAGTATGGGAGCACAATCTCAATTATTTTATTTTCAACAACAAAGTACCGGTTAACCTTGACCTGACCCGCTGATGACTTTGGGAACTCTGGAAGTCACCCGAGGAAGCCAACAGAAAGGGAGGCAAAGACATTTTATATAGTTTTAATAATAACTTCTAAAGGGATATGACATAATTGCGAGCACTTGTGAGACGACTCTAAACTCAATTCACTGAACGGTGAATTTATAGACATTCAGAATGGATGCCTGGGATAGTATTTCCAGCAAGTGCATCATGCACAGATTTGAAAAGTGCTTCATCTCAAACATCCAGTCCACCTAAAGATCACGTTACACTGGAAACACCCTGTGATGATGCTCTCTGTCATCCTGCTCCTGCCTGTGACAAGTTTGAATGAAATTGTTTTATAAAATGTGAGGGTATGGGAGTGATATTTCTAAGATTAATTATATTAACCTTATAGTATCTGCTCTTGAATATGATGGTGCAGCTCTATAGATAAATAGTATAATCATTTGGTAATTTCATTGCATTTCTAAAAATTATGTCTTTGTGCTTTTCAAAACCCCTCCTGAGGGGCAGGGTCTACCCACTGGAAGAGTGAGGAAGATCACCTTATACTGGGGGACACCCTGCATTTGGACATATGTGATATCTTTTAACGGCTGGGCAGTTTTTCAGTACTCTGTGTACTGTTTTGTTTGAATTGAAGTGAAGGTATACAGTTCTTCCTCCCATTGGTGGGGGTGTGTGTGTGTGGTTTGGGAACTATGTTTATCTTCCCCAACTGCCAGGTTCCGCGCAATCTCCCTTCTCATCCGGGTGTCCAGCCCTAAGGCTACCAGCCACCTTCCAATTTTGCAATCCTCCGGTCAGGTTTTCAGAGCTGGTCTTTTTCTGCATTTGACTTAACTCTTCTCATCTTGAAATGCTGCCTCTTGTCATTCCTGTGCTGATACTTCCCCGACTGTTCCCTCCCAGCCAGCTCTGGATGTCAGTGTTCCCACCAGGATGTCATCCTTGGTTCCCCCGCCCCCATCATCCTCTTCCCTTTCCCTGGGCATCTCCTGTCCTTTCAAGGCTCAACCTCCACCCATACTGAGGTTGAAAATTGGTAGCCTGTGGGCTGTATCTTGCCTGCGAGGTTGGCCCACGCATTGTGGTTGTTACTGTTGTTTCAGATGTGAATTTGTTGCCAACATTTAAAAATTGGGATCGAATCCAGATTTCTGGCTTCTCTTGGAAAACAGGAGGAGGTGGCAGTGCTGAGACCGAGCTGTGAGCTGCTGTCCCCGTTAGATGGGACACTTCGTGCTCTCCTGGGCTACCACGGTCCTAGAAGCTGCTCCCTTCTGCCTCAGCTCTTCTGACGAACTGCTATCAGTTGTTGTTTTTGTTTACCATGACCACGCTATTCTAGTTCGTACAACAGAGATAAGAGGACAAAAATAATTCTTTTGCCCATATCTCTATTCACAAGTGGGAAAAATAAAAACTGGACCAAGGATGCTATGTTTCAAGACAGTGGGAGAAAGCATTTTGTGTGTGTATAGAAGGGAGGAATATTCTTCTATATTTAATATTCATGGTGTGTCTGAGTTGAGAGGCTACAACCTAAGATGCTCATAATCATTGACGTAGATGGTTTATTATTTTGCTCACATTTTTTAATTCTGGAATTCTAAACAATCACTTTGATAATTAGATGCACTGATATTTATTAGGTATGGAATGTGCAAAGGTACTGGGGCACAGTGGTAAGCAAGGCAGACGTGTTTCCTGCCTTCGAGGGGCTGACAGTCAGCCTGTGTGGATGCCACAGGCCCCTCACTCAGCATGACCCTGAGTGCATTTCTTCTTCCCACCTCCTCCAGTCAGCTCAGTGTCCACGATCAAAGTCACCCATCATCTGATTAGCACTTAATTCCCTTTGGTCATGTCATGTTAATATGTCCTCAGGCATAATACCAGGGATTAGGACCCTGACATCTTTGGGGTTTATTTTTCTGCCTACTGTAATAGCTGCTTGCTAAATAGATTAATTTATTACCACCTACCAATTTGTGGATAACACTTGGGCTCCAAGCTTGGAGGTTGTAGGACTAATAATTATGTCAGATTTCATTTTTTTTTTTAAACTGCTTTCCTCCATCTTTCTTACTCTGGCTGGTGTTGCTCACCGACTCACAAACACGTGGCCACATTTGCATTTCCCGACTGTTCTAGCGGAGCCTGCCTGGAATGACGTCTTCCACCGTCTCCCAACCCTGGTTTCCTTCACTTCCAAGTTTCAGCGTTGGTCCCACTTTTCCCAGAAACTGGTTTGTTCCGCCCTCCTTGCTGTCTGTCTTCTCTGAAATCATGTAGCTTTTTCAGTCTGCTGCAATTACTTATATCACGTTCTATAAATATTTACTTATCGATTGTGTGAGTTTTGGCAGAAAGCTTTATGAGTTGGTTCAAAGTGGCTCTTAAACAGTTCATTTTCTTTCAGAAGCAAAATGTTATTCCACTGTTTCAAGTACTTACCTGAAATGTTGTATGGTTTTCTTTATTTCAGAGACTTGAAGATAGAAAACTTGCTGCTAGATGAAGACAATAATATCAAGCTGATCGGTATGACTTTTTTTTCCTTAAGCAAGATTATCCTTCAAGTGGTGTGTTGTCAGTTCTCAATTATTTATTTTCTGACTTTGAAAATTATCATGGTCTATTTCTAATCCCCAAACAATACTTCTAGAGTATCACCTTTTACCTTCAATATTTAATAATAGTTTTGAAAATGAAAATTAATTTTAATAATAATTGAAACATAAAACTAGTTCTTAGGATTATTCAAACTTCTGCTTCTCCATTAATTCAGGTGGAGCTGAACTTTTCTAGGGGCTCTGTTCATTTGAATTCACCAGAAAGCTTCTTAAAAATAGTGGAACATTGTTTGATTCAGAAATGCTGCCCTTAGCTTGACCACGCCTTATTCCTCTTCTCAATGAATGCAGAGGCACTGAAATAAGAGGAACGTGACTTGCTTTCTCTTTTTAATCCCTTTATCCCAGCCCTGTAGTACACTGGTGGTCGTGCAGAGAGAAACCCCCACGGAGGGCTACTTAGAGGTCTGTGCCAATCAGAAGGAGGGAGGTTCTGGAATGGAGTGAGTCACCATCGGTTTACAATTCAGGGTCCATATGCGAATTCACACTCACTGTTTGGAAGAGTCGTGTTTCTGTTTGCCTGCATGTTTGCTCTTGGCAGACTCTCAGGGCATCATTTTTATACCCAGATGTGAGCACCGTCTTTTACTCCTTTTTTTCTTTTCCCACCTAAAATGCAAGTAGTTTCTTCCACCTTGATCTACTTCAAACAACTTTATATTAGGAGTAAAGAGAAGACTCATAGAACTTTGTGAATTTAACATTCATACCCAAGAAGGAAATTTTGTTTGGCAAATACTGAAAACCATCTCAAGACTTTCTAAAACATATCATTCAGATGACCAGTTATATTCTTTGGAATCCCAGTTGGCTTCCAACCCAGAAACAGGCAAGGTGCTGCAGGGACATCAGACCCCTTGGCTGGGTGATTAAGCACCATTGACAGGTGTTGATAAACGCACTCGTTATTAGAAGATTAATAAGAGGAAACTGATTCCTGCCCCCCCAAAGGTTTTATAGGATGTATTCTTAAAAGATTCTTGGGCGATTTGAAGAGTTTTGTTTTTTTTTATCAGATTGTTTTGCTATCGCATTTTCGTTGTCCTGAGGGCAAAATACAGCAGCATTCAAGGCAGACGTTGAAATGCCTGTAGGATGTCTTTCTGGCCGTTGTTTCCAGGATCTGTGGCGTAAACAAAGGCACGTCCTAGTCCGGGGGTGAGGGATGGAGGAAAGGAGTTTGTTTTGTAAGTTCCCTGGCAGGCTGCTGTGGAACTTGCCTTCAGATAATGTGGTGGTGACAGTGACAGGGTTTCCCTAAAGCAGCAGAGATTGTAAGAGAACAGGCTGTGTGAAGGCCGGATGCACATTCCAGTACGAGTTAGAATAATTCGTTTCCCTGTGCGTCGTCTAGATGGAGGCTGGTAATTCTAGCAAACTGCAGACCTTGGGGGGTGGTCTCCATTCCCGCTCAGCATCCCGCATCTTCCTCTCACTTTGCCTCCCTCTCTGCCTCTGTCCTTGCTCTCTCTTCTCTTTCTTCAAGCCTTAGGTGACCATTTATAAGAGCAGGTGTGTCCGAAGGAATAAACGATGTTGAAAAGCTCAGACATTTTCACTGCTGAGAAGATTCTGAAAGAACCAATCTCTGTAAATAGCGGATGCATTTATAAGTAGCTCAGAGATTAGTTGCCTAATAAACCCTCTTAGAGGAGACCTGCGCAAAGAAGATGAGGGAAGGATAGACCTGAATTAGAGCCCACGGTTCCCCTGGAGGTGAGTGGGGGGACCCTTTAGATACCAGGAACCATTTTATTCAAGTGCCTCCGAGTTGTCACCTCTTAGCTTGGCAGCCACTGGACTGGCACCCACATAGGCATCGCAGCTCATCTGGACAAAATGTCAGAAACCAGGTGTCAGAAACCTGAATTCCCAAAACTGCTGGGAAGGAGGCTCCGATCCCTGGATGTCCCTTTGTTAGAACTTTTCACTTGGCGCCCAGTTCTCTCCTGATCAGCTCAAACCCAAGAGCACTAAGGCACAACTCAATGGAAAGAGACATTCTGCCATCCCGGAGGGCAGCTGCGAACTGCCTTTAGTTTAGTAGAATCTGCATTTCCTCATTTTTTCTTACAGAGCAGGCTGGAGGAGGGAAGGAATAGTGCTGGAGGCAAGGAAGGCCCAGTGTCTTGCGGGCTTTCTTGTCCCTGGGTTGGGCAATTTGGAGCAAATGCCTCCACAACTGTCTCTGCAACTTCAAAGCCCTTTGAACCTTTTCTTCAAAGGGATTACCTAGTTGTTTATTCAAAGGTTAATTATAGCTATTAGCATTTTCTTTTAATAGTTTCTCTTTCTTTGAAATAATTTGATTTAAATAAATTTACTTAAGCCATGTAAGCCGTGTTTCAAGTTAACTAGAATTAACCAGAATAAGATTTGATATAATCAGGGTTCCCCCTCCTTAAAAAAAAAAAAAAAAGCAGGCTGATGTTTTTAGTTTAGTATAATCTTAAAATATAAGAGCCACAGCTTACAACAGTTTTGCACTTCAGTTTTCCAAAACAGCGTTCGTTGGGGTGTTTTTTGAGATTCATTTTGTAGCTCTCAGAAAATTGACTGATAATTGGTTTATGTGTTTACCAAATCTAATTGAGGCAGACCAGTGTGGCATTATGGGGAGGCGAACTTCTCCCTCATTCCACAATTCTAATTATAGGCATATGTGTAAAACTTTAATGCTTACAATTAAGCATGTGAAACATACCAGTTATTCCTCTACAGTGTATTTTAAATTAAGCCCTTTTGGCTGGGTCAACAGAAGTCACTTAGAATGTAGATTTTTATCTTCTTCATTCCCCAGGTCCTCGGCTAATTTATCTTCTTGAAACTGTGCTTAAGACAAGGCAAGACGCTGTGTTCGCGAGCTTGCCTGGGAGCCGGGGGTGATCGGGCCTCTTATCTCTCCTCCCCTGCCCTTTTGTAAAATCAAGCGCCTTGTCGCTTTGTCGTACACCCAAGTCAAAAGTTGAGGGAAGAAACTGAAGGAGTTAATGGAACCCCATGGAGGTTAGGAAGGGAGGTTTTTAGGGGCTCCTAGGAGATTGGGCTCTAAATCACTGTTTATGAAATTTTCCTTAAAATGTTGCCCCAGTTAATATAATCTTTATTCCTTGATGCCATGTCTCCATCTCACCATAGTGGGTGCTCTTTACGCATTGGCTGTTTCCTTCAGTTTCCTTTAGGAATTGTAAAGGGCCATTCAATGTAAAGCTCAACAAGGTTTTTCTACTTACGACCACACCCTTCTCCCACTTCCGTGATACTACGGGGTGGGGCCTGAGATCAGGGGCCCTCAGATCCTTTTGAACAGCAATCTCCTCCTAAAATACAAATCCAAGAGAGCCTTGGGGCTCATGAAGGGCCTTTTTGGCAGGTTGTGTGGGGCCTACCTAATGGTGCTGACTGGGCTGATGGGAAAGGAAACGGGGGCCAGGTGAGGGTGGGAGTGGAAGAACTGGGAGCAGAGGAAGAGAGGAGGAGGGAGGTTAAGAGGCAAAAATAAAATCATACACCCCCTCCCCTCCAACCCCAACCCCAAAAGAAAAGTTAAGTGTGTGAACAGGCAGCATTCCTGGTTGGTTTGCCAGTCCCTGTTTTGGCTCTGATTCTTCGTTCCAAGTATGGGGTTGCGTTTGGAAACGCTCTTTCACCATACAGCTTAACCCAACGACTGTCGGGGGGGCTTTTAGTGTTGCATCTTGTAACTTCGTGGACTCACAGCTCTACCCGCCGGCCCACCGACGTTTCTCCTTTCCTGAGCTTTCCCAAGAGCCACGGCTTTGCAGGTGGAGACGTGTTAGAGTCGAGGAGAAAAACACAGTAACAAAATTAGATGTAAATCCTGCCAGTTGAGAAAGTGCGAGGGTTTTGTCCAGACGTGAAGCCTGTCTTTTGACCATAGCCCCTTTCTGACTGAGCCCTGTGGGCCGAGTCTTCTGTTTGGGGACCAGAACCATAATATTTACATTGAAGTTCAAAGGAGGAGCCCTGGTCTTAATTCTGAGATCAACAGAGATAGAGGAAAGCTATCAGATGAGGCCCTGACACTAACAGCTCTCTAATTACCTGTCAGTTGCCGTGTCTGTAAGAGCAGAAGTAAACACAGCACAAAAGGCGTAATGGACGCTTTAGGTGCCCTGGGCTCGTCTTTCTTCTTCCCTGCTGCCAGGATCAAAGCAGTGCTGGGAGGTCACTTAGTCTGGTTCTCATTGCTGTCTTTCTGGCGTTATTTTTCCAGCCAACATTCAGCATTGTCTGAATCGCTGGGTGTATTTTTTCCCCCTCTTCAAATCACCATATGTTGCCGCATGCGTTGGGAGCATTTTTAAGAGACTTGCATGAAATGAAAACATTCAGCCGCAAAAGTCACCTCTTAACTGGTAGGATCGCGTGTCACCTGGGATGACGCTAGTGCCAGCCAGAGAAAATCGATCTTCCTTCATCTTTTTCCCACTTGGCCACTTGGAAGCCAGCAGGCTGACTCCAAGGACTTCTGCGTGTTCTCTCTTTCTGCCTTAGTCCTCGAAAGCGAAGCCTGTCTTTTTTCTGGATGACTCATTTCCAAGATTTTATGAAAATATGTTTTGGTTCAACATACGTTTTAGCTCGAGTTGGATTTTCCTGGGAGGCCTGATGGAAACTGTTTCCAGTTCAGCGAGGGAACCACTGCCTGACATTCTTTTGTCTTGAGACCCATATCCAGAGGTTATGATTCCCAGCTGCTGGTTTTCCTTTTGGATGTGAAACGATGTGTTAGCCTGAGAATGTTTCCTGCCCCTCTGCCTCACCCTCTCCTTCACTTCCACAGTTTTCTAATTCAGAGCCTTTTTTCCTCCCCTATTTGCAGACTTTGGTTTGAGCAACTGTGCCGGGATCCTGGGCCACTCCGACCCGTTCAGCACGCAGTGTGGCAGCCCCGCCTACGCCGCTCCCGAACTTCTTGCCAGGAAGAAATATGGCCCCAAAATCGATGTCTGGTCCATGTGAGTTACTGAGCTTCTGAGAGTGAATTCTCCCTCCTGCTGTCTCCACCGTCTTCTTCTTATGCAACAACATTTGAGTGTTTGATGAGAATGAGTTATAGGCTCTGGGATGTGTATCCAGTGATTCTTTGGGGTCCCACTTTCCATCTCTGTTCTTTCTGTCTTTTATCCACAAATTGCCCAAGAGGCTTTTATTAAAATTTGTTAAGGTACCCGGGGAGAAGCAAACATTGCCCTGCACTACCGAGATCATGTGCTAGTTTCATGCATCACTCATATCCTTCCCCGGATCAAAGTCTCCCAAAGGTTTCCATCAACATCAGTGTCAAACCCAGACTCGGTGCCCAGCCATGCTCCTCGCAGGTCTGGCTTTTGCTCACCTCTCCTGCCTCTTCACCCACCACCCCACCCTCAGCTCCCGGTTCTTCAGACACATTGGCCTGTTTTATCTTCTCTACTTCTGGTCTATGCACTTGCTATTTCTTTTCTTTTATTGAAATATAGTTGATGTTATATTAGTTTCAGGTGTACAACATAGCGATGTGACATTTATATATATTATGAATTGATCCCCACAATAAGTCTGGTCACCACCTGTCACCATACAAAGTTATTGCAATGTGATTGACTATATTCCCCATGCTGTACATTACATTCCTGTGACTTACTTATTTTAGAATTAGAAGTTTGGACCTCCTAGTCCCCTTCACCTATTTTGCCCCACCTCCCACCCCCCTTCCCTCTGGCAAGCACTCTCTATTTCTTTTGCCTGAAATGCCATTTCCTGGTCATTCAAATGGCCTGTCCAGTCCCACGTTCTGGTGTTAATCCAGTTTCACTATGCAGGGTCCATCTCTTGTTGTTCCAGGGATTTCTCAGCACCCAGCATAGAGCCTTGGCTGGAGAGGAAGGAAGTAATGAAGGAAGGAGGGAAGGAAGGAAGGGAGGAAAGAAGGGAGGAAGAGAATGGAGGAAGGGAAGGAGGGACAGGCATTTGGTCCAGGTGAGCTGAAGCCGGAGGATCTGGGCTAAAGTTGGCAGAGGAAGCAAAGGAAAGTGACCCAGTGAGGGGACTTCAGGAAGTTCTGGTTGGAGATTATTCAGAGGAACCAGAGACAAGAATGTGATTCTGAGGGCACCAGAATTCTTGGAACTTTCCTAGAAAGGACCAGCTCTCCCTGGCACCCCAGCTTAGCCTGTTCAGCCAGGGGCTGAAGTGGGTTAGTCAGGGACAGCTGCTGAGTGCATGGAGTTAACTGTCCCCCGTGGTCCTCAGGACAGAGTGTGAGGCCATCTCAGCATGCTTTACACAGATGGGGGATGCTCAGTGGTTAGTGCAGCCCCGGGACACACAGCCTGCACACGGCGGAGCTGTGCTTTGTACTTGAGTCTGAGCTCCTGGTTTCTTTTCCTACCTCTTGAGAGGAGGTGTAGTGGAGGCTGCATATGGAGTGTGTGGGTGCTGATGACTTGTGCAGGAAGGGGGACGGGGGTCGCTGGGGTGGGTGGGAGTGGTAGCAGGGAGCAGCGGCAGAGGACACCTTCTCTTTTGAGGTGCCCTGGGTGGCTTGGATGGCATCGCTAATCACAGAGTTTTTATACGGTGCCCAGATGGGCCTCAGAATCCTTCTCAACATAGCCCTCCAGACAGCCAACACCAATGGATTAGAGTCAACATACAGGTGGAATCCATTCTTGGTCTCATAAGTGTCTGGCACATAATCTGTTCTCAATAAATATTTATTTATTCATGAATGAATAGAACTGTTTTGAGTCTATAATCACCTTCTTCCCTTAGGCATAACTTATTTATGCTAAATGGGAAACTCTGAAAGGGAAAATTTATGTGCCAAAAAGAAGGCTATGGAGAATGGGGCATCTGAAAGACCAGGAAGTTCAGGGGTGACTTATAACTATGGCAACAGGGAACAGGGTGGGCGGCATAGTGATCAAAGGGAAAGAAAGGTCGGTAGGTTGGAGAGGAGGTTACAGTGTGCTCCTGAGATCCTGCTCTTGAGGAGAATGGACAATACAGTGTCATCACCAGTTGTCATGGTGATGAGACTCAGCCTGTGTAAGGGGGACCTTTCCAGTCTGTGGCTGATACAGCAGGCATCTCCGAAAAGTCTACAGCTGCTGGTAGAAGGAAGGAGAGTGTGAATCGTCAGAGCTGCAGGAGAGCACCTGGCCTTGTAACCAACACTGAGGCCTTTACTAACCTCCACTTAATTGCATTTTTTTTAAGAAGGTGACTTGCAGCTGAAGATCTCCTGAAAGCTCTAATCAGGCCTCATTCTTAGTCATGATGCCATCAAGTAATGTATGCAAAAGCCTTTGATACACAGTAATGCACTGTACACACTCTGGTTCTTCAGTTCATTGCGGCAAAACTCTGGAGTCCCACGTGGGATTTCCAGGTAGACCGGAAACCACAGCCCCAACAGTCCCTGTTTGGGTGCCCTGTGGCAGGGAGTTGGGGTGGAGAGTTTTACCCTTGCTTAGCCACAAAGGACCATGTTTTAATCTTTCTTAGAAATGAGGTTTGCCCGGAGCAACCCTGTGTTAGCCGACTCCATCCTAGGGGGTGAGACCCCATGACCCACACCTAATTCATGGGGATGATATAAACTAGGCCCTTTTTAGAAGCTGTTGATGAAGCTTAAAAAAAACAAAAGGAAGCTGCATGAGCCAAATGTTGGCTTACTAGAAATTTGTTCATTCGGCAAATATTTGTGGAGCCAGGCGCTGAGCCGAGTTCTGAATGCACAATGGTGAGTAAGACAGCCTCGGTCTGTTCTGCTCCTGTGATGATCATTGTTAACCCTCACACCCTCCGACGGAGTGATGGGCAGTGTCCTAAGGGCTTTGCATGTTTCAGCTCATCTCACCTGCCTAACAACGCTTCGAGGGAATGCTCTGTTGTCCCACTTTACAGATGAGGACACTGATGCCCGTGCCCAGATAATACAGCTGGTGTGTGATAGAGCCAGGACTCACCCAGCTGGTTGGGCTCGAGTCTGCCTCGTCACCCTCTGCTGCTGCTCCAGTGTTGTCCTTCTTCTTGGAGGGTTTACATTTTAGTGGGGGGCAGACAGACACAAATTTTTTTTTTAAGTTGTAAATTCAGTGTGGTCACTGCTGTGGAGGAAGTTGGTGATGGGGGTTGCAGGGAACGAGGATGGGGTGGCCTTTTTTTATTGAAGTATAGTTGATTTACAAGGTTGTGTTAGTTTCTGGTGTACATCAAAGTGATTCAGTTATACATATATATATATTCTTTCTCATATTAAGTTATTACAAGATACTGAATATAGTTCCCTGTCCTATAGAGTAGGACCTTGTGGTTTACCTATTTTATGTACAGTAGTTTATATCTGCTAATCCCAGACTCCTAATTTATCCCTGCCCCCTTTCCCTTTAGTAACCATAAGTTTGTTCTCTATGTCTATGAGTCTCTTTTGTGTTCATTTGTGTCATCTTTTTAGATTCCACATATAGGTGATACCATATGATATGTGTCTTTCTCTAACTTATTTCACTCAGTATGATCATCTCTGGGTCCATCCATGTTGCTGCAAATGACATTATTTCATTCTTTTTTTATGGCTGAGTAGTAGTCCAGTATATATATATATATACACCACATCTTTATTCATTCATCTGTCAGTGGACATTTAGTTTGCTTCTGTGTCTTGGCTATTGTAAATAGTACTGCTGTGAACATTGGTGCGCATATATCTTTTCAAATTAGAGTTCTCTCCAGATATATGCCCAGGAGTAGGATGGCTGGATCATATGGTAAATCTATTTTTAGTTTTTTAAGGAATCTCTGTACTGTTTTCCATAGTGGCTGCACCAAATTACATTCGGGGGAGGCCTCTTGAGAAGACCTCAATGTCAAATCCTAAGGATGAGGAGGACTCAGCTATGGGAGGAGGGAGGTGTCGGGGGGAAGGCTCTAGGCAGATGGAACAGGATGTGTGGAGGCTGTGGATGGAAGGGAAGGTGTGGGTTTGGACTTTGTCCTAAAGGGAATGAGAGGCCATTGGATGCTCGTAAGCAGGTGGGTAACAAAATGTTATGGATTTGATTGTGTTCTTCAGAAAAAGATATGTTGGAACTCTAAACCCCAGTCCCTCAGAATGTGACCTTACTTGGAAACAGGGTCTTTAATTAATTAAACGAGGTCATGAGGGTGAACCCTAGTCCAGCATGACTGTGTCCTTTTATAAAGAGGAAGTTTGGACACAGAGAGACCCAGGGAGAAGGCCATGTGAAGATGAAGGCAGGAATCAGATGACGCATCTCCAAACCAAGGAGCCAGAGATGGCCAGCAGCCTGCCAGAAGCTTGGGGACCAGCATGGACAGAGTCTCCCTCATGGCCTCAGGAAAACCAACCCTGCCAACACCTGCTTCTCAGACTTTGAGCCTCCAGCACTGCGAGGTGATGCATTTCTGTTGTTTAAGCTCCGTGATCTCAGGAAAGGTCCAAGGGGAGTAAAAACTCACCACGCCAGATCCCAAGAGCCATTCTCCTTCCCAGGGTAAATGAAATATTTCCTTTACTGAATCAAGTTCGCTAACTGACAGATGAAATGGACTAACTGAAGTCTTCATCATCCTTCTCCCAACAGTGGAGTGTAAGTCTCCGTCAGTCCTCCCGACAGAGGTCACTCCATGGTCAGATCAATAAACCACAGACTCAGTCCTGGCTGTCCCCAGTAGGCCATACATTATTGGCTGCATGAAAACCAGAAGCACAAGAAAACCACAAGTAAGTAGAACTTCATTCACATGATGCTGGAAGAGTCCCTGGAGTAAGAGAGGACAAGCCTTGGTGCATAAGCACTTTTCAAGAGGCCTCTGTGTCACATTTGCTCACGTCTCTTTGGGTGAAGCAGATCGCATGGCGGAGCCCAGCATCAGGACGAGAGGTAGACTCCACCCCTTGATGGAGGGAGTGGCAAGACATCCGTGGCTTATTTTCCCCCTTAACGGA